GTTGTAGATGCCGTCCAGTACTTTCTCAGTGGTTCATGAAATATTTTGCTAACAGACAAACAGAATTAACTCCAATAGTGATGCTAAGGATGTTGGGCAAAGTGTGTTGTGCTTAAAGCATCCGTTGGGAATGATGCATGCGATAAATACATCCACACAGACAAAAATCTCGTACTCTCCCCTTTTCTTTCTCTCTAAATTCCTCACACGCTTACACAGGCTCTGCAGTTGAAAAAGGCAGCTACAGCGGGTAAAATAAGTATTGAACACGTCAATATTTTTCTCAGTAAATATATTACTAGAGGTGCTAATGACATGAAATTTTCACCAGATGTCGGTAACAATCCAAGTGATCCATACATACAAATAAATCAAACCATAAATGTCCAGAAAGGAAGTTATTTGTAATAATGTGGAATGGCACAGGGAAAAAGTACTGAACGCATGAAGAAAGGGAGGTGTAAAAAGGCATGGAAAGCCAAGACACCAGCTGAACTCTCTCAGTAATTAGAAAGCAAGCCTGCCCCTTGTCAGTGCAAGTTAATACCAGCTGGTTCAGTCCCAAATGATGGCCAGGTATCACACAAGAACCATCTGATGATTGGTACAAGTAAAGAGCTCTCTCAAGACCTTCACAACCTTTTTGTTGCAAAGCATAATGATGGCATCGGTTACAGAAGAATGTCTAAACTTCTGAAGGTTCCAGTGAGCACTGTTGGGGCCATAATTCAGAAGTGGAAAGAACATTATTTCACCATAAACCGACCACGACCAGGTGCTCCTCRCAAGATTTCTGACAGAGGAGTGAAAAGAATTATCAGAAGAGTTGTCCAAGAGCCAAGGACCACTTGTGGAGAGCTTCAGAAAGACCTGGAATTAGCAGGTACGATTGTTTCAAAGAAAACAATAAGTAATGCACTGAACCACCATGGCCTGTAAGCACGCTCACCACGCAAGACTCCRCTGCTGAAGAAACAGCATGTTGAAGCTCCTTTAAAGTTTGCTGCACAACATTTAGACAAGCCTGTGAAATACTGGGAGAATATAGTCTGGTCAGATGAGACCAACATTGAACTGTTTGGATGCCAGAATACACATCATGTTTGGAGGTCAAATGGCACTGCACATCAGCCCAAAAACACCATACCAACAGTGAAGTTTGGAGGTGGGAACATCATGGTGTGGGGCTGTTTTTCAGCATATGGTACTGGCAAACTTCAAATAATTGAAGGAAGGATGAGTGGAAAAATGTACAGAGAGATTCTTGATAAAAATCTGCTTCCATCTACCAGGATGATGAAGATGAACCGTGGCTGGACATTTCAGCAAGACAATGAGCCCAAACACAAAGCCAAGGAAACTCTCAGTTGGTTTCAGAGAAAGAAACTAAAGCTGCTGGAATGGCCCAGCCAATCACCTGACCTGAATCCAACAGAAAATCTATGGAAAGAACTAAAGATCAGAGTTCATAGAAGAGGTCCACGAAACCTTCAAGATTTGAAGACTGTTTGTGGAGAAGAATGGGCCAAAATCACACCTGTTTTTCCATACAGGAGGCATCTTGAAGCTGTCATTGACAACAAAGTCTTTTGTACAAAGTATTAGATAAATTTCAGGAAGTGTGTTCAATACTTTTTCCCTGTGCAATTCCACATTATTACAAATAACTTCATTTCTGGACATTTATGGTTTGATTTCTTTGTATGTATGGATCACTTGGGTTGTTACCGACATCTGGTGAACATTTCATGTCATTAATACCTCTAGTAATATATTTATTGAGAAAAATGTTGACGTGTTCAATACTTATTTTACCCGCTGTACCTTACATGACTGCAATCAAAAGCTGTATGTCGTGAGTATAAATCTATTTGTTATATAATGGTGAACATTGTAAGCTGACAGAGGACAAGAAGATTTTCACGGGTTCAGGGACGTTTTCGTCAACTGAGCAGAAAAACGGAACAATTTAACATAAACAGCAGAGAACTGGAGCCTTGGGCTCGATAATAAAATCCTTTATCTCATACTGCTCTGTACCACATTCCAATTAAACATTGAGTCAATGTGACAAAAGAGCAGTCTAAGCAGTAAACATGAGGTTTGTACTTTTCAATCCATTAGTAGTAAATTTTGCTGGAAGTGAGACTTTTATTTTTTTGCTTAAAAATGCCTAAATGTGTATCAGCACTACAAAGAGCCAGAGGAGATGTTGTAGATGTAAAAAAAAAAAAAAGAAAAAAAAAAAAGAAAAAGAAAATCCACTGCTCATCCACCCACCAACTCAACCCACGCACAAAACTGTGAAGTGGTTGGACACTTTTAACACAAACACTGGTGGCTTATGTGCACTAAGAGATTGCTTATATTCCCTAAAATAAAACAACATTATGCAAAAATAAGTAATAAGGGAGATGCAGAATAATATTCATATTTGTTAAACCAAAAATCCAAACAAATTTGAAGGACAGATGCACTTCAGTAAAAGGTATAAGACTTTGGAATAATCTGGAAAACGATTATAAAACGATTATAAAAAAGCATTGGATCAATTCCTTTAAAAAAATGATCAAAGCAAAATTGTTAAAGAAATATGAAATTGTTTAATTTGTATTTGTTTGAGGAGTTGAATTTTTGTTTTTGTTTCATTTGGTTTATTATTGTTTGAAATGAATATTTTTTGTAAATAGGAGCAGATGTAAGATTTTTTCTTCTTCTGTTGCCTTTCATTTGATTTGTATTGTTTTGTTATATGTTATGTGTTTTGTTTTGCTTATTTTTTAATGAAAAAATATTTTATTTATTTTTTACTGTTCATTACATTAATCCTCCATGGTCCAAGTTGTTAGACCAAATGCTATTTTTCCCCTTTCTTTCATATTTTCAGATTTGAGCAGTTTATCCCATAACACCACTTTCCTGAATGTTTCAGATGTTTCTCTGCTTTGACACACCTGATTTGGATGAATAAGAGACAGGAAAAGGAAAAAAAATTATATAGGTCTACTGGACGGGTTCTTCTCTAATGAAACGTTTCGTCTCTCCTCCAAGAGACTTCTTCAGTCTGAGAGTTTCAGGTAAAATTCAGGCTTTTAAGCACTGCCTTCATGTGACTGATACTCACATCACATGGCTATCGTTGATACCTAATTAACACTTATTGTTAACAGGGGGTGGAGT